TTTTAAACAATTAGGAGTTTAAATCTTTGCAATAGGAGTAAATGGGAGGTATAAGAACTGCACAGGAGGAACAAACAGAATCATCAGTTCACCTTTTTGCTCCTCCAGGTATCTGGGCTCTGCAGCTTGATGGACCACGCCTACACCAAGCATCAGCTGCTGCGAATGGAACGCAAAGTCCTGTGTGCGCTCAAGTTTGACCTGGCTCACTGTCCCGCTCTGCACTTCCTCCTCATCTTTGCCTCCGTGGCTCGCTGCAGCACTACGGTAGCTGTCCGCCGTGCGCCTGCCGCTTGGTTTGTCTGACGTGTTCACCCAGCCTGARGTCTGTGCCCCGCAGGTGGTGTGGATGGCTCGTTACCTGCTGGAGCTGTCTCTCCTGGAAGGCCAGTGTGTGGCGTTCCTGCCCGTGCAGCTGGCCGGAGCCGCTCTGTGTTTGGCCCGTCGAGTCCTGCAGGAGTCTCCGACCCCGGAGGGCGAGGCCGCCTGGTGTCTGGTCTCCAGCATCCACGTTGGCAGGTGTGTAGCTCTTCTCGTTTATCCGTGCTGTTACATTTAGTGACCACAGCATTCGTCTTTGTTTTCAGTAGTTAAAACGAACACACTGTTTTCCAGTGAGACCGTTCTGCTGAGGATTATGCAGATTCTCGCTAGTGCCGCAGCCGAGGCCCATGAGACCTGTGCTACTTTTATCAAGTTTTCTTCCTCCGAGACCATGCATGTGAGCAGACACCCGGGTCTGAAGAACACTGCAGGTCTGCTGGGTGTATGGGCATGACTTCTTTTGACTCAAAATGAAAAGAAATCTCTGAACTTCATGTCATTCATACAGGATTAGTGTCCCTTAAGATGTGAAACTGGAAGCATTAATATTGAGTGTGAAAGATTTGCTGCCAGATGTTGACAGATGCATGCAGTCTACTAGCGTGTGATTTGTCCCACATTGTGGCAAAACCTGTTTTATGATCTTAACCTGCAGCCYATGTCAAATACTTGAATTGTTCTTGATGTGTCCTTGTTTTGTCGTTTGTGGAGAGGGTGTGTCAAGTTGAGGAGTTTTTTAATGGAAAATAAAGTGTCTGCTGCGAAGGGTTGAGATTTAGGGGTTTTATTTTTAAAGCTTTAAATACTCATAATTCAGTTCTTCACTGTTTAAAAAAAAAAATTGCTTCTCATGATTTTCCTTGTTTGTCCTGTCTCCAATTTAATATTTTAGATGTCTTTAWATGTTCTTGGGATGAATGTGACTTCTCATTTATGTGCTTTGGGCTTTTAGCTCCAAATATAACAAAATTACATCTTTTGATCTGGAATGGAAAACATGTCTGTTTCCTGAAATAAAACTAAAATYTCAACAAAATCTAACATGTCAGATYTTCTTTTGTCACTAGTAAAGTTTTTAATTTGGAGGGAAAAAAAGAAATCCAGAGATTTAACACATGCTGCTAAAAGGCAAACAACAAACGGTTCTTGTGAGTTTCTCTGGCATTAAATCTCATAACCAGTGGTCACATTTTAATAGAACACTCAAATTAATCACTGAATGCCTATAGATGATTAACCTTGAGTCGTCTCAATTCAAAATGGCTGACACAGCTAATTCCCCTTAACCCTCCTGTTGCCACTGGCTCCAAATGATCTGAAGYGTTTAATTTTGTAGAATAATTTAGTACATTAGGTTGGTTGTTAGTACTTCACGCTGGAGTTAGGATTATCTTAATGTAACAAAGATCCTTGTTTTCTGTTTACTGTACATTTGTATTTGGCTTTATGTATTAGTTATGTTACCTGTGGATCTTATGCACAGCTTCTTAGATATTTTTTTTCCTGCAGTGCTTTTCATTTTTAAAGGTGTTTGACAAGAAAGAAAACTAAAGCAATTTAATGATCATATCCTGATGGAAAACACTATTTTGGGAATGTACTGCACAACACACTGACTAATGTTAAATAACAGCAAAATAATAATTAAAAAAAGCTCTAGATGTCTGAAATGTTCTTTTGACTGAGACAAAGTGAATTAGATATCTGCAATACACAGAGTTTAACTTTTCCAAACAGTTTCAGTTAAGATGTGCGTTTTACTACTGGGATCGTAATTTAAGTTTGGACTAGAATGACATTTTTACTGGGAATGATTTCAGCGCATCTGAAGTGTGGTTTGGTTATGTTGTGTGTTATATGGGCCTACCAGACATTGGCCTATCAAAACTCACCTCTACGTTTTGATTGGCTGATGTTGAGTRTTTGACCAATGAGTGATGAGTGATTTTGTTCAGAGTTTGCGTCGTAGGTGGTCCCGTTGAAGTCTGGAAAGACACTTATTGCAATAGGCGAGATCTTTGGCCGCCATCTTGTAAAGTGCTTGAAACAGGACTGCTTACATGTTGAAGACACAGCCCATAATCAGATCAGCCCATAAAAGCCTTATTTTATCTACATAAACATTTTGCATGCAAAATGTGAAAACATGATGCAAAATGT